CATAAGCAGTTGTGTATTATGCGATTTTTTAAAAGTTATGCAATATCATTTATAAAATAAAAGCACGTGGATGTATTCTTTGAGTTCTGTCAAAGTAACAGCACTGTTGCTTTGTTTTACATACATTGCGGGGGCGGTGGGGTAGCCCAGTGGTTAAAGCGTTCGCTCGTCACGCCGAAGACCCGGGTTCGATTCCCCACATGGGCACAATGTGTGAAGCCCATTTCTGGTGTCCCCCGCCATGATATTGCTGGAATATTGCTAAAAGCGGCGTAAAACCTAACTCAACTGAGAAGTACTTTCTTTTGCCCTTGAGTGTATATTGCCGTGTTGACGTTTTCAGCCTGACCCAGATTTGGCAGATGTTGTTAAGTTATATACAAAGCAACACGGTTTTACGCAGCGATACACAAGGAAGTAAATTGCACTTGAACCGCCCTGTCTATCTCTCCATTTTGTCGTCAAACATCCTCATACATTACCCACCCATGACTTGTTGACCTGATACACCCAAGACAGGCAAATAGAAACAAAGTTTATATTGTGTCTTATTACTTTTACAATATCAAACAAACTAAATGTCAAATATTAAATATATCTTACTTAGTCCACGAGGTCTCAAGTATATCTGAACACGAAAACTACTGGTTATCTGTTATCTCTACGAGTTGATGTTTGAAATTCACCATGCTATTTTACTTTAAACATTTCAACATGGAGTATGTGTAAAGTGAATTTGTAAATCAACATTCGTTTGAAAAATATCTACCTGTGATTTACATGTGGCGTGACTGTTGTGTCCCTGTACGCAGAGCGTCGGGTGAAGCCGTCCGTATCACTTCAGTCGCACAGAAAGGCGGATGTTAGAGTGTTGAGCATTTCAATGTCTGGTTTATCGTAGTTCACAACGACCTGTGTGTGTGAGTGAGTGAGTGAGTGAGTGAGTGAGTGAGTTGGGCTTTACGCCGCCTTTAGTAGTATTCGAGGAATATCACGGCGGGGAACACCAGAAATGGGTTTCACACATTGTGCCCATGTGGGGAATCGAACCCGGCGTGAGGTGCGAGATCTTGAACCACTAACCTACCCCACTGTCCCAGTGTGTATATAAACACTGAATAGCATCATGGGTATTAGTTTTCATAGCTGAGGCCCAGGATACACATAGTGAATTTTGACAATTTTCAATAGTAGACTCCACTCTCTAGAAACATTTTTAGAGTAGAGGATATTTTGATTTAAAAGTGTGCATAAAATTTCAACAATTTTTGAGAACCTCAGATTCCTTTGAATTATGTTTGTTTGTTTGTTTAACTCCGCAGCCAGTAATATTGAAGCGGGGTGTAAATAATGAAGTCTGGACCAGACATTCCAGTGATTGACATCATGAGCATCATCTATGTAGTTGGGATACTGTGACATGAAGTCACTGAGTCTCACCACCCGATCCCGTTAGTTGCCCAAAACACGACAAGAATGGTTGCTGAAGACTAATTCCTTTTGTGTATCAGCATGTTGTTTGTCGTCCCTGGTAGTACGAAAAGGGCGTCACTTACTTTGTACATATAAATTTTAGGGGGTCCATTCAAATTGTCCATGCTTCTCCATAAAAATCCTCATCACCCCTAAGCCATAAATTATGAACGGCCCCTTAGTAATAATGGGATGAGATTCACCAGTGTGTAGTTGTACATGTATCACGATATTCAAATAACGACAAGCTATATTATTAGTTACACGGTGTTTTGAAAGGGTGTACGGGACTGTAAGACCCTTCTAAATTCCGTATTTCCTGAGGTGCAGTCTCTTGACACTGGATGTCCTATTGAAGATGCAGAGGTTGTTCTCTGTGCATGATCCCGAGCAATACCTTTAGCACGGCTTCCAATGTATCCGAGGAGTTTGATCTCAAGCGGCCCTTTTGTCCAATATTTTACGGTCGTTTCAAACAATTATAATCTGCTCGTGTCTGTTTTGTTCTATGTTTTGTTCTGATTCAGATACACAAAACACAGGAGATACCAAAAGCCCAAAATACTTCAAGTGTAAATCTTCAATGTTTGCTGTAAATTGATATATTAACCGTTTGAACCGACCCAGAACTACTAACGTCAAAGGAATTCTGGGTTAAAATGAGATTTCTATATGAAACAGAGTTGTTTCCCCTGGACTAGCAACTCCGCGTGTGCACCTGACAGTCTGGGTCAAAACAATGTGTCGGGTTTTGTGTCATTAGGAGCCTTGTGGTGTGCAACGAAGCGGAATGATGTGATTAACAACTATATCAGAAATATTTAGAAGGTACGAGGAATATATACATCAGGCAGGGCCCCTATTCTCGAAAGGATCCTAGCCCTAGGATATCGTAACTTTCCTCCTAGGGTCTGGGATAGGTGTCCTACCTTATTCTCGAAAAATATCCTAGCGCTAGGATATCCTAACTTAGGACAAATACTAGGATAGGTTGTGACTTGTCCTAAGTCTATCTTAGTGGAAGTCAACATGGTGTGGTTCTTGTTTGTTGGTCGTTTCTCACGTCAGATGATAAGATTGTAATCCAAATAATTTTGACAAATATTTAGCCCCTAGTTTCTGTATGTGTTGATTCCCACGTTGAAACAGTATGCTAATCAGAAATCACTCAGATGTGAAACCAACAAACAGCAAATAAATGTGGTATAACAACTGTATTCCAAATGATAATCACTATAAAGGAATTCCTATGACAGACATATAAAAGTAAAAGGCTCAGTGGTAGTATACGATGGCAATGTAATGTAATGATAACAATAACGGGATGATTAGTTTCACCTTACTGCTAAAGTGATTAAGCTAAACAGATAGGCCTAGGTTGGGAATCCAAAGTGAAAGTGATCTTCACTGAAATATATTAAGCAGCAGAAAAAAACGTCAGTTTGGAATTTTCCTTCGCAGAAACGGATAACTGTAAACTCATTTAATGTTTTGATTGTATATTTTTGATAATATCTCCAACTTTACCTGAGCAAAGACATTCCTGCCCAACCTCAGAATTGAACCCAGGAAATGGTCTCAAAAACGCAACCTGACCTCGGAGATGGTACAGTATTCTCCATGTTTGTTTTATGCAACTCATGCTGCACGTGCTGCTCACACGGACCAGCCCTATAAAATGCACCCCCAAATCTGGCTGAAACATTCATATTACAACGTCAGCGGGATGCCGTGACTCACGACAGCTTAGAGGAACCAGGCGCTAGGAAGACTTGAAGCTGGCCACACTGCACAAGCCGTTGCCAATCACTTCCAGGTCAACGTTCGGACCATCTACAGGCTGCAGCAACCTTTCCGGGCCATCAACACCACAAATAATCGCCCCATACTGGCAGACCAAGGGTTACCACAAGACGACATGACCGCCATGTTGAGCGACAGCATGTACAGAATCCCTTCATGCAGGCATCCGAAACAGCATGCCAGACAGTGGGAACACACGGAAGACCAATCAGTACTGATACAGTACGCCGACGTCTTAACAGCGTGAACCTCCATTGCCGTAGACCTTACCGTGGACCTATCTTCACCTCTTGTCATCGGCGTGAACGTCTACAGTTTGCCCGACAACACCAAAACTGGCAATACAGGCAATGGAGAACTGTTCTGTTCACAGATGAGAGTCGGTACTGCGTTTCAACTGCTGATGGCAGAACAAGATATGGTCAGCCTTACTCAGACCAATGTGTTATGGAAAGAGACTCATGGGGAGGTGCAAGCATCATGGTATGGGTTGGAATAGGCCTGAACCAGACAATCGGTCCCGTGGTGTTCCAGAACCTTGGTCCAGGGAGAGGAGGTGGCATCACAGCGGTGCGCTACATCGACCAAGCTCTCAGACCCCACGTCATACCATATTTCGCACGTCACCGGAACAACATTTTCCAGCATGGTAACGCCCGGGCCCATACTACCAGAGCTACACGGGACTTCCTACAGCAGAACGGTGTCAACATTATGCAGTGGCAAGCCCTTGGTCCTGATTTAAACCCAACTGAACATCTTTCAATGCCAAACACATCCAAGGCCGAACAGAGACAATTTATTGCGCCAGGCTTTTTTCAGAGTGTGGTTCCAGGTGCCAATGGTGCCTTCATCAATCGATTGGTGTACTCCATGCATAGACGCTGTGCCTATCGTGGTGGTCACACTAGATACTGAAGTCAAGAGTCTGAATGGACTGCAAATGTTCAGGTAATGTCTTGAAATTGTGCTGAGTTATTCATTGATTTGTCAAGATATTGTACACAAAAATGTTTTGATCCACTTATTATGTCATTTTCTGTAATGATTTGATTACAGTGCCTATCTATTTTTGTTTTCGTACTGCTGAGTATACTTGCCTTTTGCATTGTGACTCAAAAGCACGCCATCGTGTACAGTGAAACTGTTTTGGAAATTTTCAAAATGTTCTGGGTTAGATTAACCTGGCATTGTACTGATAAATTGTAGTACTTTCCAGGACTCTGTCTTAACGTAGTACAACACATATAACAAAATATCCTTGCTCTAATCTTGGATATCTCTTGTCTCGAGGAATAAAACAATGTAAGGAAATACTACAAGACAACCAAAGGTTGTTATAGTAACGATTGTAATTATACTAAAATCCCTTAACGTAGTGTATTCAGTCATGAGACAATACTACTGTAAAGATACGCCGCCATGTTCTCCGAAAGTATTTGGCATATATACAGAAATGATCTTTGCAGTATAGAAGGTCTATAGAACTTATAATGGTTCTGAAACACGTGTTGTATTTGATATAACACGTTCTCACGTACAGATTCTCATACTTTTAGGTGGTTGATCCCTCATATCAGGATTGGCACAAATCAACACACAAAGTCAGCGATCAACACCAAAAATATCTGTTCTTAACCGAGAAAGTATAATGGCCAATATAACATATTTCTGATCACTTTTGAATGTGATTCTGTATTTATAGTGAATCTAGTAACAATGGGTCATTCACAGCTGTCGTAACTTGAGCATCCGTCGATAGTGAACTTGGACCATCCCATAGCTTCTGCTGCGTCTTCTGGGTTTGTTGCTAGGAGACAGTTGGGGGCAGCTGTTGGGTGGTAACTGAAACTCAGACAAGTCTTGTTTGCGTAACACCGGGAACTACAATCAGCGGCAGAAGTAACTGTGAGTGACGTCATTGGTGTTGACACTTTAACATCGGGCTTCTTACTGTATTTGGTTACTGAAAGTAAACACTGTCAAGATTATTTTTTTATATCACATTAAACACATAAGGCATAAGGAAATGTGAATAGCAACAAAAGTTAACATGGCGGCAATTAGTTACATTTTGTTTAGGTCATTTGTATGGGAGGAAACAGCTTACCAAACAAAACACCACTAGTTAAAAGTGACTAGGTCCAAAACCAAATATGTGTTTTGTGGGGAAGTCATTAGTAGACAGACCAATATTTTCTTCATTTGCATTTCCTCAAAAAGGCATAAAATCATACAAATATTACAGATTCTACGCATGTATGAAAATATCCGCCACTGGATTCGAAACAAACAGCAGCCAGCTAGTACCTGTTCCCGCCAAGATTAGGGGAGGTGGGGTGGCCTAGTGGCTGAAGCGTTCACTCCTCACGCCAAAGACCCCGGTTCGATTCCCCACATGGGTGAAGATGCGAACTGATGCTTGCTTACACGGTCATGCAGCGATGGGGATGGATGAGCGAGTGAGTATGCTTTTAGCAATATTGGAGCAATATTACTACGGGGGACATGGAAATGGGCTTCACATATTCACATATCAATGTGGGGAATCGAACCCGGGTCTTCAGGGTGACGAGCAAACGTTTTAACCATTAGGCCATCCCACCGTCCCAGGGGATGGATGAAGACTGGGTGGGGTGTGTTACTTTTGACTGTCACCATGTCGACAGATTTAAATTACACACACATTCAAAGGATGTGTTCTCGGTTCTTTTGTCTTCTTCACGGTTCAAGCTTTCGTATGAATCCTTCATGGTTAGCATGGAGAGTGCATATATTTGAATGAAAATGTGGCTTTGTTTTCTGTCTTTCATTAATTGTTTTGACATCTACAGGATGGTATATAATTACACAACTCATTTTTATGCATTTGATGTAAAGGGAGGTAAATGCTGGTGGTTGGTAAAACACACTCATATGTAGATAGTTAAATAGCACAGAGACGACGGGCTGGTAACTAAATAGCTGTAGAAAGACTGAGGACTAGTTATATATAATACCACTTGTTGTCGCTGGAGTCCCTTGCACCACAACCTCTGAAATGACTAAACGACCAGTCATGTTTCTCCGGACCTTCACGAATCTGACTGGTTGTGGGTGGGAACAAGTGAACGTGAAGGTTTCTCCTTTACCAACTACTTCTGGACACTGGCCACAGATGAAGATGTCGTCCGGGCAACCACTGTTGCCACTGGCGTGCACCTCCACGTATGCACTCCCAAGATCTTTTTCTGTTGGATCCAAGATTTACAAGATGCTTATCAAAGTATCATTTTCATTGTGTACCTATTCAATTACGGATTACTGGTACAAGTTATTTATATGTTGCTGAAGATTAATATAGCTGCAACATATGTTATATTTGGGATTTCACTTTCTTAGTAAAGTACAAATTCTAGTACGTTTTGGGGTTGAGTCCCATCCGGGATTCGTACCCACACCCTCAATGTCAGGCACCAAACCGCCAGCACACAAAGTGAGCCGGCTAACCCGCTCAGCCACCTCGACTTCCACAAAAGTCGGACAACTGGTAGTCTAGACTGCGGACTTTGTGTACCCCTCTGATAAGTATAAATTGCCACGGATCCCACGGCCGAAAGCTATGATTACACAGTGCCATTTAGAAGGTGGTCAAATATATTATATTTGGGATTCCACTTTCTTAGTAAAGTACAAATTCTAGTACTTCTTTGGGTTGAGTCCCATACGGGACTCGATTGTGTACCCCTCTGATAAATGTAAATTGGCATGGCTCCCGGGTTAGGCGGCTGACTTTGACTACATACATACATACATATATACATACATACATACATACATACATACATAAACTTACACATACAAATAGAAACATACATACACATACATGAAGAGTAAAAGAAAGAAACATGTTGGTGTGTAATTACTTGACCAAAAAAAAGAAACTTAACATACTGTTTTGGTGTTTACTTACTGAGTGCATTGCTCAGTTATAGTAAAATCATCAACTTTACAAATTTCCAAAACATGATTATCAAGAAAGTGTTTGGTTAAACAGAATAAAATGTCAGTATCTGGTGTGACCACCATCAGCATCGATAACAGCTTGGCATAGAAGAAAGGAGATGCCGAATGTTGTCTTGAGGAATGTTTTGATACGCTTGCTGAAGTTCTGTGTGCAGTTCTTGTAGTGTCTGAGGTGGTGGATTACGCTGGCGCAAGCGTCGGTCAAGAGTATCCTATAGATGTTTAACGGAGGACAAATCCGGTGATCGAGCAGGCCAAGCTAAAAACTAAACATTGTTTTTCTGGAGAAAGACCTGTCAAACACGTGCGACTTGAGTTCGAGCAATGTCATGCTCCAAAGATCACGGAGTGAAGGAGAAGGGGAGTTAAATATAAATATACTTGTTGAATCACAGGTCCGTCATTTGGAATACTTGCGGTGTTACCTCTCTTGCTGTCCTTCTCCCGCTACGCCAGAAGTGTTTTTTGTGGAATAAATGATAAGAAAATTCTAACAAGAACGACGGCAGATAAGAAAAGTAACGTCCAACACTTTTATTCATGGTGGAATTAGGCAATATGATACTTCTTTTGTAATTTCTGCTTATTCTTGTTCCTTCAGTCCGTTGGACCGGAAGCCGGCAGGGTTAATGGAGGCGAAGAACGATTTGACATGTCATGAGTGGAGCTTAAAGTGTTGAATTAAATATATTGTACGTGAGTAATTAATAATTATGAGGTTGGAAATCTGAGAGCACAATCCTGTGAAGAAATGGGAGTCTGCCATTGATGGTGGCGATATTTTATTTTGATATTAAAAATATTATTCGAACCGTTGCGAGGGAAGCACGTTGCCAACCTTTGCCGACAACCGATAAGGATCAGAGTAACGGGGCCATTAACTGCAGATGGGTTTACTACAATTACAAAGCCAAAGGACCTGTGTAGTTTTAAATGTGACAAATTACAGAACGGGTTTATAACAGACTTACCAAGATTATGGGTGACGTCACTCGTAACCGAGATGTTGTGGACAGTGAAGTATCCCTGTAGATCCCCCTGCCAGTAGGGATTCACAGTATACCGGGATCTAGCTGGTGTGGATCCGGGGTTGTTGTTACCATCATTCGCATATTCAGCATTCCAGTAAACACGGTTGAGTTTACTGGGCTTTGCCAACATAATGTTCTCCGCTTTGCTTACGGAAACACCTGAAAATATTGTATTGTAAACATGTTTCTCTATGAATAAGATGAGATGGAACAAGAACGCCCATGTTGTTGTGGACAGAGTATGTGTTGACAACGGCAATAACCCCGTGCCTAAAGCATTTTGATTTTGATCCTAAACAAATAACTGTAAATCTGCACCCCTGCTTCAAGAAGAAAAAACTGCAGCTGTGATTCATATGTGACGTCAGATGTGCGTGTGCCTTTGTCGCTATTCCTGTAATATCACGGCGAGTCATACCAGAAATAGGTTTCATACATTATACCCATATGGGGAATCGAACCCGGGTCTTCCGCGTAACGACCGAACGCTTTAACCACATGGCCACCCCGCCGCACTCACCTCATAAGTGTTAACTTCAAAGTGGTCCTCAGTAACCAATGCTTGTCGTAAGAGGCGACTAACGGGTTCGGGCGGTCAGGCTCGCTGACTTGGTTGACACATGTCATCGAATCCCAGTTGCCTAGATCGATGCTCATGCTGTTGTTCACTGGATTGTCTGGTCCAGAATCGATTATTTACAGACTGGATTATTGCTGAGTGCGGTGTAAAGCTAAACTCACTTACGCACTCACTCCTAGTTTATTAGAGTTTAAAGTTGGTTTATTTTGTGCATCAACTTCCCCACCATATGACGCGAGCTTGGGCTGAAGACGACCTTTGCATAATGGCCACAAGGAGAAGTGGAAACTGAGTCACTTAAAATGGATATAATAATGTTGTTTCCTTTGGTCTGTTGGTTGGAACCGATGACATGTGTCCACCAAGTCAGCGAGCCGGACCACCCGATCCCGTTAGTCGCCTCTTACAACAAGCATGGGTTACTGAAGATCAGTATTCTAACCGGACCTTCACGGGTATAATAATCTAGGAGCAATTAGGAAATTGGCTATATTTTGTAAAATGATGTCTCATTCTAAGCAACGCCCAAAAGAGAAATAACGCACGAATGTGACATTGATCATTTAACTGGTTACATGCATGTACATGATGTTGCAGATTTTTCATACGGCACTCATCTCAACTTGACGAAATTTAGATTAGTCAGAGAATTCATAATCATTCACAATTCAGTGTCAGTAATGGATATAACCTCCATAGGCATCGATGCATACTTAAACACGACATCGGACAGAGTTAATCGATCGCCGAATAACGTTGTTTGGAATAGCCTGCCATTCCTGGATGAGTGCATTCGCCAAAGCTTGTTGATTGGCAGGAGGTGGGTCGCGTGTACGAACATGCCGCTCTAGGTGGTTCCACAAATGTTCAATTGGCGAGAGGTTCGAAGTGGCCTTGCAGAACATTATTCAGCTGAATAAGGTTCTGAACAATCCTGGCCCGTGAAGGTCCGGGTAAGAGTGAACCTTCAGTAACCCATGCTTGTCTACCCGTGAAGGTCCGGGTTAGAATGAACCTTCAGTAACCCATGCTTGTCTATCCGTGAAGGTCCGGGTTAGAATGAACCTTCAGTAACCCATGCTTGTCTCCCCGGGAAGGTCCGGGTTAGAATGAGCCTTCAGTAACTCATGCTTGTCTACCCGGGAAGGTCCGGGTTAGAATGAACCTTCAGTAACCCATGCTTGTCTACCCGGGAAGGTCCAGGTTAGAATGAACCTTCAGTAACCCATGCTTGTCTACCCGGGAAAGTCCAGGTTAGAATGAACCTTCAGTAACCAATGCTTGTCTCCCCGTGAAGGTCCGGGTTAGAATGAACCTTCAGTAACCCATGCTTGTCTACCCGGGAAGGTCCGGGTTAGAATGAACCTTCAGTAACCAATGCTTGTCTACCCGGGAAGGTCCGGGTTAGAATGAACCTTCAGTAACCCATGCTTGTCTACCCGTGAAGGTCCGGGTTAGAATGAACCTTCAGTAACCCATGCTTGTCTACCCGGGAAAGTCCGGGTTAGAATGAACCTTCAGTAACCCATGCTTGTCTACCCGTGAAGGTCCGGGTTAGAATGAACCTTCAGTAATCCATGCTTGTCGTAAGAGGCGACTAACGGGATCGGGTGGTCAGACGAGCTGGCTTGGCTGAAACATGTCATCGGTTCCCAATTACGCAGATCGATGCTCATGCTGTTGCTCACTGGATTGTCTGGTCCAGACTCCATTATTTACAGACCGCCGCAATATAGCTGGAATATTGCTGAGTTCGGCGAAAACTTATCTGACTCACTCTGACCAATGCTGGCAGTATGGGGTCTGGCGTTATCTTGCTGGAACATGACATGTCGATGTTGCTGTAGGAACCGGAGTAGAACAGGACGTTAAACTTTATCAGTGGAACGCTGGGCTGTTAAATTTGTGTCAAAAACAAGCTGTGTCGTCAAATCTCTGCATTGGCGACCCCATACCATGACACTTCCTCCACCGAATGGAACTGTCTCTTGAATACAGCAAGGTGCTGTTCTCTCACCTCTACGGCAGTAGACTCGAACACGACTATCTGCTCTGCGTAACTGGAAACGGCTTTCATCAGTATAGAGAATTCGTTGCCAATTTCGATTCTGCCAGTGCTGCACAGTACTGACCCACCGGTGTCGGTCACGTCGATGACGAGGGGTCAAGGTCATCCCACGGAACAGACGATAAATACCATAATGTCGTAGTCGTGGGGTGTTAGTGGGTGTGTGTGCGATGATTTTTAAGTATAAGCATGTACAATGTGAATGAACCCCCGCCCTCTAAAATTCACGTACGAAATAGATGAGCCCCTGCATGTCATGTACACAATCAATGACCCCCTCCCTTCCCATAATTTCTAAGCATAATTTTAAACATATTTTTATGTACAAAATTGCTGACCCTCCCCTAGCTTCCCTGAACAAAATGGGTGACCCCCCTTAAAATCATCATCACCCCCCTAGCCATAAATTATGGACGGTCCCTAACTGTTCTTCGACTGACCACGTGATTCAATGCTGCTGCTGCTGTTGACGTCACAGTGACGAAGCGATTACGTAAGTGCAATAAACGCATGTACCGATCTTCGTTGTCAGTGGTAACTTGTGGTCTGCCGCTCCTTGGCCTGTCGACAGTACGACCTGTCTGCCTCAGTCTTGTCTGGAGCCTTGTTATTGTTGTCGAGTGCAACGGAAGATCCTTGCTACATGATGATGCCTGGCTCCAAGCTGGAGCACACCAATCGCCCTTTCGCGCTGTTCTGCTGTTAATCTCGGCATGTCACTTGATCGTCTTCCTTATGGCCTTTGGGATACTGACTGCAGGGCTTTCATACCCATTAGCATTTCGATCTTGTGATGGATATGCATTAGATTTTTTTACCATTAAAACAGTTTACGCGGTAATCAACGCATTTTCATCTCGCTTGGGATCAGAATGTTGTGTGCTGTGTTTGGGTGATATGTTTCTGTAATTTGGAAACAAAATTCGGTGTAAAAAAATCAAAACATCGGAATCAAAATTTTGGTATAGTTTATTTTACCCGTCAGTGTATTACCATTTTGTGTGTCGTACATGTATGTAACTTATAGAAGTTGTAGATAATATTGATATTGATAAGTTGATGTTCTCTAATGCCACAGAACGCAACCAGAGCGTAAATAAAGTTCAGCTCAGTTCAGAGGTTGTGCGCCGGTGACTATACTGAGATTTGGAGTCAAGAGTAATCTGGAAACGTCTCGAAGATTAAACTTAATAATTAATCATACATGAGAGCAGGAGCGAGCCTCTACAATTTCATATTACACCAAAACAATCAGATGTGTGAAGATCATTCTTTTTGTCATTCTGTACTGAGTCTTACACTAGCACGCTATTGAGAACTGCGCGAGTAATACCTTCCATTATTTTGTAAGGTTTGAATATTGTTCCTAATCGTATCCCCTTGCTATGTTGTCCGCTTCAAACTTAATTCCTTTTCGAACAGAATTCTGGATTACCGAATTACTTCGCTAGTAGTCATTATCCGTTTTATTATAAACCTACCCGAATGTTTCAATATAATTGTTTGATTATTTATCGATCTCGTGTGCTGATTTCACAATTAGTTCTGTACGTACCGATTTCTTAATTTCGCCTTCGATTTTGTCAGTCTTGCCGATTCTTAATTTCGCCTTCGATTTTGTCAGTCTCGTTCCTATTGACCGATCAAAATTGATGTTTTTTCTCTCTTTGTTAAATAACAGTTCAACAGATCTTTGTAGGGTTGTGATTGAATTCGCACGCCCCAATATATTACGTCGAATGCCAAGAATTAAGTAACGGCAACGTCGGGGCCAGTATTTCAATGCTGAAATTTTGTTTTCGGCTATTTTCAGCCAATTTGTCCTGAGCTTTGAGCACAAATGATCATGGAGTCAATGTGATAATCTCAGACAGATATATACTCATGGGAAAAAGTATCGCAACACCTAATAGTTTTCACAGTATCAATATATATTAAAACCTCAATTTCTATTACTATCTGTACAAACTGACCCTTAAGGATTACTTAAATGGCAAATCTAAACAGAAAACTGTATTGAGTAAAGAAAACATGGGAAAACTTGGTAATTTTATAGTCATTTTACGGCCAAAAACTGGCGCGATTTGAAGTGTTCATAAGTATGGTCGTATGACGTTAACAGGTGCTGTCATTTGACGGCAGTATTTCAATCATATCGTAGCTATGAACGCTATGTATATTAATACATGTATAAGCCAACTTAGATGCAATACATATCTGTCATCAAACGACGTGAACTGACTAGACTATCACAGAATTACTCTTAAAAGTATTACTCTAAACAGCAATACAATATAAAAACAGGCTATAGATAGCCATAGAAGGCTGACACCATACAAAACAGCATGGAATAACAACGGACGTCTGATAGGTCGTCTGGCTCTATACCCGGTTGATTTTAGCGATTTTGAACCTTTCTGCGAACGACCAAACGGAAGAAACTCTGTTTGTTAACACGCCACTTGAGATAAACGGATGAAGTCTTGTGTTTCTGGGGCCCCTTTCACGAAACAACCTTTACTAAGGTAAACCTTATCTTCCATTCTTTACCATTGCTTTAAGGTTACTTTAGTGACTTCGATCACCTTAGTGCTTTGTGAAAGGAGGCCCTGAACTGTATCCTTCCTGGGAATTTTCACCTGTGGTCATCCGGAACAGGCGCGGTGTTTAACGTCATTAAAGTGCTGATGTTTTCTGGTTAATGGCTGAATGTCGACGGATGATTTGCAACATCTCTTGCAGCCGCCCTTAGCGACATACCAGCATTCAACAAACCAATGACTTGTCACCCTTGAGCAGTTGTCATCTGAAGAGGCCCCATATTAGCTTATCAAGAACGAAATCGGTACCACGAAATCAATTGACGTTCCAAGTTATCGAGCTGTAAGTACAGTTTATTGCAAACTCATATTTGATTAATGGTGGGCACACGTGTTACACTGTCACGAGAGAGATGACATGTTTAGTGACGTCCCAATTACTTCTCAAGAGCGGATACGTCTTGATTGGTGTTGTACTTCTGTCATATGAATAATACGGCTTGAACTAAAATCTGATACACATTCTCGCCTTTGATTCCATATCTAAACCCAGTTTATGGTGCGTTAGAGGGGCCAAATACAAACTTACAAACTATGAAAATATATAGCAAAATGGTTGTTAAAAATCATAGATGTTGCTACATACATGCATACATACATACATACATACATATATACATACACACACACACTCACACACACATACATACATACATACATACACACACACATACATACATACATACATACATACATACACACATACACACACACATACATACATACATACATACATACATACATACATACATACATACACACACACACACATACACACACACACATACATACATACATACATACATACATACATACATACATACATACATACATACATACATACATACATACATACATACATACATACATACATACATACATACATACATACATACATACACTAGGCAAACCTTTCTTATCAGGCTTTGTAACCAATGTCCAGAAGTTCGAAACGTGGCACGAAAAGAAACGTTATTTTGTATTGCGACAATGGAACATTTACAGAAACTTTTACCATTCAATAGTACAATTGACTATTGTTAGCTTATGATACTGACACAACATATAGCCTTTGATGTACGCGATATACTCCACAAACATTCAAAGAAACATAGTTTGCGAACACAAACATATATAACTAAGGATCTATAGTGAATCAAGTTTTTTCATTTCATTGACACATGACAAGTGTTCTGTTAAGCGTCATCGATGAAATGGTGTGTTTAGCATTAATAACCCTCGACAGCTGTTTGGGTAGAATAGCATGTGACAATTGTACCATTAAGAAGGAATAGAAACTCCATTACATATCGTCGAGTGATAGACATGTAACAGAGACATAGGTAACGATCAATATGCCCCTCATATAAGGGGAGGAAGTTTATAGATTTCCATGATATATTTCAGTATCAGTTCTATGCAAGATAATTCACGAATGAAATGAAACAGTATCTCTTAAGATTGAAATATATGCCCAACCACTTGATCGTAAAAAGAGCCTAAAAATTATACTTACTACTATTACAGCTATGCTCTATACCACCACACGAGGCTAAGACAGCTGGGTCTATACAGTTTGTGGGACATAGCGTCAGAGTGGCTAACTTAAAAGTAAGAAAAAAAGGCAAAAACCTTCTCCATAATAATATGAAACGATTGTTTGAGTCTGTCGCCTTTCTTCGATTCCTATCATAACGTGAACATATGTGAATGAATCCCAGTTAGATGGTGATGATGCAAAGTGTTCCCGAAAAGATGAGCATATCTTGCCCCAATCGGGCACGAGCAAAAGCGTATATAAAAATTTAATCAAACTTTTTCCTTTGAAAACACAAAAACATTTGGTAAAATCCTTCCCCTTGAACTGTTTCAGTCAAATTCGGATATTCAAACCCATACTCTGTAGTTACTGACTTCGGTCAGAAACCTTATGTCTTAATAAGAAACCATCGGCTGGAATGGCACAAGCACATGCAAAACACACATTTTACTTTGAAAACACCAAAACATGTAGTACAAGTCAAAACAGTAGAATACCATCTGGCATAGTTTCCCGTAGATTTATTTTGGACAGTTTGAGTCAATTGAAAAATTTGGCCCAACAGTTGATTACTTAGGTTACACAATCTCAATGATAAAATAATAAACATACCTCGTAGAAAGGCATAGAAGACAGCCAGGACCGGGTTTCTCGTTGTAAGCCTCATCTTGTTCCGCCACTGGATGTAGTCTGAAGGTATACATTTGATACTGGCCAGAATCTGCATCGGCAGGGATCAATTCAAGCTGTATTATTCATATGAAAGGAGAACAACACCAATCATGGTGATAGATTATTCGTTTTCGCAATAAGTCGTATCCTCCACGAACTCTTGAGTAGTAACTGGGAGGTCATCAAACATGTCATATTAGCCGTAACAGTGACAGTGGAACAGGATCAATCTATTCACTTGAGTAATCCTGCTAATTGAGTCTTCTGTTATTGAAAACAAATATAGGTAAAAGTTATGGTCATTAGTCAATAATTATCTGTCAGTCAGTGTTTATGTGGAATGTAGGCTAAAATTCATGTTGATTTTGTAGAGAGAGTAGATAATACACCTCACTGACACGACACACGAAGTCACTTTAGTAGTTTATTGTTGGACTTTCTTGTTGATTGTAATGTGGATGGTTTCTGGTCAAATTGGCTTGGAAGATGTTTCGTCTGTCAATTACAGGTTGAGCTGTAGTTAGCTATATTATCGTTCTTCATAAATATTTATGTAATATAACAGCCTCTAACATTCATACTATGTCTGATGTGATTAAGTCTCAAAAACTGTAATGGACTGAAAAACTGGGACTTGTAAATAAGAGGCAACGTGGAATTCCACAAGAAGTTGTTAATGACGATGGTGAAGTTTGTTATGACCATCAAAATATATTTAAAAAATCATATGAAACACTTTTTGTAACAGCAAATTCACTGGCTGTCTACGAGATTATGATGAAGGTTACCAGCAAATAATTTGGAAACAAACACATCTGTTTGCCAAAACCCGTTTCCCGATCTGAAATTCAGAGAGCAGTTTTCTTGTTAAAGAATGGTAAATCTTTAGTCTTTAAGTCTTAAGTCTTTAAGTCAGTATTGGAGGCATATAGGCCCAGATTACAAACTGTTGAAATACAAAGTTCTGTGTGGAATGCTTACAAGTTATTTCTGTTAAGTGCAATGATAATACATGTAGAAATAGTTATATTGTACAAGAAATGATAATTCAGTTTATAAAACACATGAAATCATGTCACTGCACAATATGGGATAAATACAATGAAAACACACGTGGAAATAGTTATATTGTACAAGAAGTGATAATTCAGTTTATATAACACATAAAATCATGTTACTTCGAAATGTGGGATACGTACAATGATAACACATGTAGGATTAGTTTTTTGTACAAGAAAGGACGGTGTGTGGAGTTCGCACAGGTGGGACGTGTCGTGCATGGGCTCCCGAGTAGCTCAACCAACACAGCCAAAATAACATGTAGAAAGCACAGACTTTCGGATTGAAACACTCGTAAGTCCTTCCTGAATCGACTGTGACTATGATGTTATGTTTGAATATACATTGTATATATGAAAGTATTTTCAAGCTGGTGGCTGTGTTGACGAACAGTAGCTGATCTGTTCAGCTAGTTGTGCATTTAATATGAGCGTCTCTATTCAGTGTTGGAGGTCTCGTATTGGTTGTTTTACACCAAACAGACACTGGTAAATCTACTGGAACAGATGATGTACTGCAGTGCAGAGGTGTTAAAACACAACTTCTCTTGATTTATTTTACAGAAAAACAAAACACTGCTTTGAAAAGAGTAAAATGCCGTCAGTTTGGAACATATCACTAGAACAGATATGCAAAATATTAGAATGAAGGGACATCACACTAATTTCAGTACCTTGTAGACCCTATGTTGTTAGACTCTGCATAAAGCTTAGTGATTATATTGATATATGTCACGTTTCGAGCAATAAATATTTAATATTTCCAACAATTATTCAAAATCGTGGATAATTAGAACTGAAAAATGCCTGTAATTATAATCTTAATGGCATTTAATCTCTTAAGATTGAAGATGAATTACATGTTGTAAAACCTTGTCCTTTGTATGAGGTTTAAGATATTTAAGATCTGTTAGACCCGTGAAGGCCCGGGTTAGAATGAGCCTTCAGTAACCCATGCTTGTCGTAAGAGGCGACTAACAGGATCGGGTGGTCAGACTCGCTGGCTTGGTTGACACGTCATCGGTTCGAATTCCCAATTGCGCCGATCGATGCTCATGCTGTTGATCATTGTCTGGTCCAGACTACATTATTTACAGACCGCCGCCATATAGCTGGAATATTGCTGAGCGCGGCGTAAAACTAAACTCACTCACTCCTTTTCTGCTAATTTAAACAAAACCCAATGTATTTTACACTCAGAAAATGTACAAGTCGTCTCAGCAGTTATAGTTGCATATATAAAACGAACAAAATTAACTATTTTATGCACACTATTTAGCTACATGTGTTTCCATGTATATTACTATTTTGCACAGGATACGAACAATATCTTTATGGCTGTATAATGTTGTCCAAATGAATCTCATAAGTCTTGATACCCGTGAAGAACCGGTTTAGAATTCAGCAACCCATGCTAGTCGTTAGGCGACTAACGGGACTTACTGGTTGACTTGGTTGACACGTGTCATCATATCCCAGTTGCTTAGATCGATGCTCATGACGTTGATTACTGCAACGTCTGGTCCAGACTCGATTGTTTACAGACCTCCGCCTTATAGCTGGAATATTGCTACATGCGGCGTTAAACAACAAAAAAACAACCATAAGCCTAGGTGTTATTTTGCATACAGTCATCTTATGCAACGGGTGAAACATAAATAAACTGAAAATATTGATTGGTACAAAGACGAGCGCTTTTAAAAGACAGCAACTTCAACAAGTTTGCGAGAACACAATGCACAAATGGTAAATGGAAAACGGAAAACCCCCAAAATGTTGTATTCACTTTTGCAGTACAGTAAAAATACATCCAGTGTTATTCTTAGGTATAATTCATATCAAAGTGATCAAAGAGACCAATGTTTTAGGAATAACCTTTGACAATAAATTGACTTTTATTCCTCACATTAAAATTGTAATGCTTAACAACTCCCGATATACCGAAGGTAGCCTCAGATGCTAAATGACGTGAACACCAACAAAGACTTCTCTATCACTGGAGAACATTGGTTATATCTAAGCGTCATTGTGGCTGCTTTTAAACATGCTTCACCTAGTATATTATATATTCAAGAAATTGACTCCTTTCACCATTAAGGTCGAAGGAAGCTTACATGTGGAAGCTGAAGACCATTGTCTTGAAATCATAGGGGTAAAACTGGCTCTGCAATATATTAGTAAACTCTATTCCAGTCCATCCAATCTCTGCATTTTACCTCCTCTGTACCTTGTATGATAAGACACCAAAGTCACTTGCTCTATGTTGAGTCCGCATTCAACAACATATAACAGAAGCAAATATGTCTACACTTGCTGATTTCAAACTGCCTGAAGTGTCACCACAGCAGTCAAAACAACCTGATGTCAATTTATGATTAACGAACTTGAAACTAGGCCGATATAAATCTGCACATTGGACGTCAATGTCGACCACCACGTTTCCACACAGTGATTAAAACCAGCTACTTGTCAATTCGTCAGAAGCATGTGGCAGCAAATATTGAATGAACAAATATGTAATACGTTTCTTGTCATACAACCCTTGAGAAGGTATCATGTTCTCACTAATCTAGATCAAATGTGGTACTCCTTGTTACTCTGCCTGGCGAATGGTTGAGAGGGAGCAACCTGGGGATTGGTCCCGCTTGGAGGCAATAGGACTTTCTAAACCGGGTGTTCGTTATGAACTGTGGTATAGTATCTCAATGGGTTTGCACTGTAAAACTGACAGAAGTCATGTGTGGTACACGAATAACCACGTTAATGTATTTGCGTAATAATCTTGAATTCAAAACTCTCCCCACACAACATCGATCCCATGCCGTCATTCAATACCGCGTATACAACAAGGCTACCCTGAGTCTCGTGGATTGTATCCTTGATTAAATTGGAAAGATCTTTGTACCCAGCGATATGGCAATTAATATGCTAACAACAAACCAACCCACTGCCAACCGTAACGGGATCCGTCTCGCGTACACGTTGAACTGAACTGAACTATAATTTTGTTATTGTTTCCTGTAAAGTTGATAATGAACTCCCGGTTATTTATTGAACACAGACCGTCTAATTAGCTGTCTGTGTGTCTGGCTGATTGTCAGGCCTGATTGTTGCTGTATCAATCTTTGTTACAGCTGGTATAGCCTATATTGAACTGAATTGGTAAACAAGCTTCCATATGCGTGGTAATTGGGTTCAGACTCTTTCGATACCTTAGTTTCTTTCACTGTACCCAGCTAATCATAAGTACTAACACTGTAGATTTGTACTTCTTTGTCTATTTTCCTTTATTTATTGATATGAACACCTTGTCTCAAGAGCACAGTTTCGTAACAGACACAGTCCAAGAGTATAAGACCGAATGTATGGATTTGGAAGAAAAAGAATCAATGTGAGTGATTACAATGTCGGCAGTCATGAAGCCTATCGAAACATCAGCAAACTACAAAAGGGGTCATGTCCTCTCTCACTTTGTTAACAGTCAATAACAGGGTTAGAACTTTTCCACAATGTGAGTTTAGTTTTATGCCGCTTTTGAACTATTCCAGCAATATCAGGCGGGGGACACCAGAAATGGTCTTCTCACACTGTACCCATGTGAGGCATCGAACCCGGGTCTTCGTCGTGACGAACGAGCGCTTTACCCATTTGGCTACCCCACCGCCCCCTTTTCCTAAAAAGAATCTGTGTCAGAACATTGATTGATTGAGTGTAGATTTGGAGATTTTACGTGCGCTTTCCAATATGATGCGTATTTCGCCCGCCAAGTCTTTCAGTGTGAGATCGAAAGAGGGGTGATAATGACGGAAAGACAGGGCAACATGTAGGAGTCGTTAGGGTTGCATAATTAATGTTTCTATGTTTTTATATATTTTTTTGGTTTTTGTATGTAGATGGGACTTGAATTTTGTGTGACCTGTTTGTAATTTAGTTATCGCCCTGTCCATGTGTTTGGATTTGTGGTTGATGTTTAAGTTCTTTAGTGTTTTTTGGAGTA